GCCCGCCCAGGAGCACCCCGCAGGTCCCCAGTGCCTTCCTAACTACCTGTCTCCAGGGGGATTTTTAGCCAGGTCGGGATCGCTTTGGTTCTGATCACATGGCCTCCATTTTGCAATGGTCACCGTGCTTCTAAAAGGTAACCTCACATCAGATACTCGGTTCTCTATCTCTGGGGTTGGTTTTTCTGCCTGGGGCGAGGGCTGATCCACCTGGCCAGGCACGTTCCCCCCTGTTGATTGGCGACGCCTCACCGAGCGTGGGTTGCTCCCAGACTCATCCCGTGCTCCAATTACAGGGTGGGCAGATGAAAGGGCTCCCTGCTCTGTTCTCCAGGAGCCTGTGACATCCCTGCCTCGTCCTCATCCACCCAGAGGGGAGAATTCCTTTGTCAGGTTACAAAATAAAGCACGCTGGAATGGCCGCAGCAACTGAACTAGAGCTTGGGGAGAAGGAACTTGGTGATTCTTTCTCGTGAGTCTCCCGTCTCATTTGTGGGGTCCACCGTATTGTCCGCTCACAGTTGCCGTGTGTTGCACCCGAACTTTTATTTCGGAAAATTTCACACGCGCACGAAGTTGACAGAATAGCACGTCGAACAGCCACTGTCCACCGCCGAGCTGCCACGACATTCTGCCATCTTGCTTCACACACTTCCCACCCTCTGCTTGATGATCGTTTTTTTCCGTCTTGTTTTTCGAGGCAAAATTCACACACATCGAAATGCACGAAGCTCAACTGTACAATTGGTTACACACCTTTATCACAATATGGGATGTCTCCATCTTCTCAGAAAATTCTCGGATGGCCTCGCCAGCCAATCCACCCCCTGCTCCAGGCAACCGCTGATGTAATTTCTGTTACGATAGATTATTTTTTTGCCTAATCTGGAGCTTCAGCTAAATGAGACACAAGACTCATAATCAGTCTTGTGTCTGGGTTTTTGGCTCAGCATGTTTTTGGGATTTGCCTGTGTTGGGTGGCATCGCTAGCTGTCACTTGTTGTCACTGAGCAGTAAGCCCATCGTGTGAATATACAGCTCGTCCATCCGCCCGTTGATCATTTTGAGCATTTGGATTGTTTCCAGCTTGGAGATTTCATCAATTAAGGCTGCTGTGAACATTCACGTACAGCGTTTGCCCCGCGCCGTGTCCAACGCTCCGTGTACAGTAAATCCTAGTGGGTGTAAAGTGGTATCTATTTGTGGTTGAATTTGTGTTTTTCTCACAACTGAAGACCTAGACCATTCCCTCATATGTTTATTAGCCATTCATTTCTCTTCCTCGTGAAGTGTCTGATCGAGCCTTTAACCACATTTTGAATTGGGTTGTCTTATTTTGTTGTCGGATGGCTTATATATTCCGGATACAGACACATTTGGTGAATATGTTATCCCAGAATGTGTTTTGTCTATTCCTCTTCTAAATAGCGTCTCATGAACAGGAGTTTTTAGTTTTGACGAAGCCTTAATTTATCGTTTTGTTTTGTTTTTTTTCAGGTTATTGCTTTCTGTGTCCTAAGAAATCTGTGCTTACTCCTATCTATTGATTTATTTCATCTAGCCCTGGTAACCTTGCTAAACTGTCATTATAAAAATTTTCCTGTAGCTCGGTTCGAGGTGATCTTGTTTCAACAGACTGTCATCTACGAATAACGCCCGTTTTGTCACTTCCTTTCTGCTCGTTACGCCGTTTTCATTCACCCGCCTTGCTGCGCGGGCCTCTAGTTGAGCATTGACCGAAGAGCCAATAGCAGGTACTTCTCTTGCTCCCAGATTTTTGAAGGGGATTTCTCCACGTTCCCCCACATCTCCCCATGTTTGTGGGGTTTTACAGGTGTCCTTTATCAAGTTAAATAAGTACGTTCTCTTTTATCCCTAATTTGATAAGCGTTCTTATCATGATAGACGTAGAACGCTCTAGAACAACTTTCTCTACATCTGAGAAAGTTTAGCAAGGTCACTAGATTTTTAAAAATCAATAAATAGGAATAGATGAAGATGATTTTTCTAACTTTACGCCTTCGATCTGTTCATGTGACTTTCAACGATTTTGTGCTTTTTGATATCAGACCCACCTTTTATTCCCAAGGTGCCCCTGGAACTTGGTTCTGACGCGTTACGTTTTGAACATTGCACCATTGGGTTTTCTAGTGTTTTCTGTAGGGTTTCGCATCTGCGTCCCTGAATGCAAATGAGCTGGGCGGGACCTTCCCCGTTGACCTTCCTCATAGATCTCATTATGCAGATTCTGCTCTGCGACGGGCCCCGTGCTGTTTGCAGCAGAGTTTGTCTCAAAATGGAGCTCTCTCTCCTTGGCATTTTGGTAGAACCAGAAGGCGAAGCTTCCTGTGCTGGGGTCAGGGTTGGGGTTGTCTTGGTGGGAAGGTCGGGGGCTGCAAGCCTCTTTCTTTAATGACTGTCTCCCACTCAGGTCCCTTACTCCGTTTTAATAGGTTGGATTTTTCTTGAAATTTGTCAAACAAGGAATAAGGTTGCTCATAAAACCGTCTTCTGTGTCGCGTAACTCTCATTTTGTCACATCGCACTCTTAATTCTTGGTGCATTTTAAAAAGCGATCTTGCCAGAGAGTTATCTGTTTTTTATTAGTCCTTTCCAGATACCACCTTTTGGCTTTGTTCATCTTTTTTGGTGTGGTTAGTTTGTTTTCCATTTAATTTTTTTGTTTTTCATTATTTGCTGCCTCGTGATTTGTTTGGCTTAAAAGGTCTACTGTCCTGTTTCTAACTTCTTAAATTAAATGCTTTAGCTCATTAGTTTCGAGCTTTTTTTTTTTTTTTTTTTTTTTTTTTGCTGACGTGAGCATTTAAGGCCACATCTCACGAGTTTCCATGTGTGCTCCTTTCATTACTATTCAGTTCCAGAGAATGGAATTTTCACGGTGGCCAGGTTAGTCGGTGTCGTGGTGCCTCCTGTCAGCACAAGGTCTGTCCACCTCAGGGTGGCTCCTGTGACACACAGACACAATCAGCTCAAGGTCAGGATAAAGGGCCAGCACGGGTTCTAATTTAATGTCCTCTGGCTACATACAGGGACGAGGCGGGTGTGCTTGGGGCTGAGTGGTGACCCCGAGTGAGTACCTGGGTCTCCAAGAGGGGAAGTGATCTAGGTCGTGTCCCCAGCCTCTCCTAACCATGCCTCTTCCCCCTACCACAGGGTGACCTGGCCAAGAAGAAGATCTACCCCACCATCTGGTAAGTGTCCCCTCACTGCCCTTCACCCTCCTCGCCTTCCCTGCCCTCCCGGCTCAGGCCACGGCCATGCTCTGCCCTCAGGTGGCTGTTCCGGGACGGCCTTCTGCCCGAAAACACCTTCATCGTGGGCTATGCCCGCTCACGTCTCACGGTGGCCAATATCCGCCAGCAGAGCGAGCCCTTCTTCAAAGTGAGTGGCTTGGGGATCTCTGCGGGGGGCATCCCCCCGGCCCATTCCACTCCCGCCCTCCGTTCCTCCTCCCCCCGGCCCTCCTCCCTTATCCCGGCAAAGTGGCAGGGCCTGTTAGAACAAGCGCCTGGGGCCTCTCTTCTTTGCCCTCCTCAAAGCCACCCACACTGTCCTGCCAGACTGGTGCACAAGCTCTGCCCACCTGCGCCCACCGCTTCCGTGATCACGGGAGGAGCACTGGGCGCAGAGTGGGGGCAGGGACCTTTCCAGCCTGAGACCCCGGTTTCCCAGCTGCCCCTCGCCGGACTCCCTGGTTCCTCCCTGCTGTGCCCTGGGTCCAGAAGCGGGAAAAGCCTCTCTACCATGGCAGTCCTACAGATCTGTGTTTTCCCAACACACCTGATTTTGGGGGTAATGACTTTGAAGAGAGGCGTTTCTCCCAGGTCGAACTTTCCTGAAGTCTGACTTCTATCTTGGGGCACTAGGTCCCCAGGGGTGACAGGGCCCAGCCTGCGACTGCTGGGTCCCATCCTGCAGTGTTCCCGCTGCCCTGGCCTCCCCCTGTGGGTGTGCAGAGCTGACAAGACAGGGGTGAATCCAGTGTCGGGCCAGGATTGCTGATCCCCGAGGGAGCCTCCCTGGCCATGCGGTGAGCGACGGAGGGCTGAGGAGGGTCCGACTCCCCTGTGTCCGTCTTTCTCAGGCCACCCCTGAGGAGAAGCCCAAGCTGGAGCAGTTCTTTGCCCGCAACTCCTACGTGGCTGGCCAGTACGACGACGCAGCCTCCTATCAGCGTCTCAATAGCCACATGAACACCCTCAACCAGGGGTCAAAGGCCAACCGCCTCTTCTACCTGGCCTTGCCCCCCACTGTCTATGAGGCTGTCACCAAGAACATCCGAGAGAACTGCATGAGCCAGACGTAAGGCTTGTCTTTTGCCCCTCCTTCCCGCCTCCTAGGTGTGCCCTGCCTTAGCCTGGCCTGCCCTGGCAGCTGTCCAGAGCCCCTGGGGCAAACTGGTCTAGGGAGTCTGAAAAAAGATGGATGCTCCTGTTTAATTAGCTCTACAAAGAAGGGAGGCTGTAAGGGAAGCTATCGTATGATAGCTTCTGACAAGCCTTACTGAAAATGCTACCACGCATATTTACATTCCGGATCCTGTAGTCCAGGGGTCCCCAACCCCTGGGCCATGGACCGGTACTGGTCCGTGGCCTGTTTGTTAGGAACTGGGCCATACAGCAAGAGGTGAGTGGCAGGCCGGTGAGCGAAGCTTCATCCCCAGCACTAGCATTACAGCCTCAGCTCTACCTCAGATCATCAGGCATTAGATTCGCATAGGAGCACCGGTCTCTGGTGCCAGAAAGGTTGGGGGCCGCTGCTGTAGACTGTCAGGTTCATCTCTCTAGAAATCCAAATGTCCGTGGCAGCAGTTCCCGCTACTACCACAAGATGGCAGTGTGACTCCATGAAACTGCCGGTTGCGTCTCTGGCTTTTTGGCATTTCCCAAAGTGCTCCCCATGACCACGAGGTGGCAGTGTTGCTCCATGAGGATCCTGCTGCCTGCGCTCTGTTGTTTTCCCAAAGCCAGTCATCTGTTTTGTTTTGTCCTGGTTTTGAACGCAGAATGCCACGTTAACTCTTACTGGGGACTAGCAAACAAAGGGACCTTTTCCCATTTTTAAACCCACGAAGATAGCTGTGCCCTTGAGGTACCCTCCCCTTGCTCGCCCACTAGCTCCCAGGGCACGCCTGGTCCCACGCCCTGAGGAGGGGTTATTGGGGGTGACACGGCTCTGGGCTCTTGCAGAGGCTGGAACCGCATCATTGTGGAGAAGCCCTTTGGGAAGGACCTGCAGAGCTCCGACCAGCTGTCCAACCACATCTCCTCCCTGTTCAGCGAGGACCAGATCTACCGCATCGACCACTACCTGGGCAAGGAGATGGTCCAGAACCTCATGGTGCTGAGGTGCGGCCGGCGCCGGGTCTAGGGCAGGCACGGGGGGCCCAGCCTGCCCCGCTGCTGCCCGTCGGATGCGCCACCAGCCTCTGCCCCGCTCCTCTCCCAGGTTTGCCAACAGGATCTTCAGCCCCATCTGGAACCGGGACAACGTTGCCTGCGTCATCCTCACCTTCAAGGAGCCCTTCGGTACTGAGGGCCGTGGGGGCTACTTCGATGAATTTGGGATCATCCGGTGAGAGCCTGTCTCCCCCGCCCAGGAGGCCTGCACGGGCGTGGGGCGCGATCCACCTCCCCGTGGGGTCTCCCCTCCCTGTTGTAGGGGGCTGCTCCTTCCCCCACCCCGAGTTCAAATTCTGCAGCGGGAGTATCTGAGCAGTTGGTGGCGACGGGAGGGTCACTGTCTCTTTCCTTTCTTTGGGGGCACCTGGCAAACACTGAGGACCAGGAAGCAAGTCTCCTAACTCGGTGCTCGAAAACCCCCAGAACCCGGCCACAGAGGAGGGGTCCAAGGCGGGCTCACTCCCAACCTGGAGGCCCCTGACCCGACTTCTACCCGCTTCCCCACCAGGGATGTAATGCAGAACCACCTCCTGCAGATGCTGTGTCTGGTGGCCATGGAGAAGCCCGCCTCCACTGACTCGGATGATGTCCGAGATGAGAAGGTGGGTGCGGGCGCACCCTCCCCATGCCCGCTGCCAGCCCCATCGACCAGCCCTGAGCACGGGGTGCCCTGGCCTAAGAGTCGGAAGCGCAACGTGTCATGTTGTGGGACTAACAGTGACTGCCGTGTGACCAAGGGCAGACCCATTGTCTCCCTAGGCCTCCACTTCTTCAGAAAAAAGGAGGCGTTCCTGGAGGGCCCATGGGTCGGGAGTGGGGCCATGGCCGTGCCCTTGGCTGGGTGGGCAAAGCTGAATGGGTATCTCCTCCTCCAGGAAGCCCACCCTACTGGGCCATGTGGCCCCATGCACAGGCTGTTTCGCCTTGTTACCCAAGGGGCCCCTCGCTCCCCCGCCTCTCTTCCAGGTCAAGGTGTTGAAATGTATCTCAGAGGCAAAGGCGAGCAACGTGGTCCTGGGCCAGTATGTGGGGAACCCCGACGGAGAGGGCGAAGCCACCAAAGGCTACTTGGACGACCCCACAGTGCCCCGTGGGTCCACCACCGCCACCTTTGCAGCTGTGGTCCTCTATGTGGAGAACAAGAGGTGGGACGGTAGGTGACACCTTCGAGCCTGGCAGGCAGGGCTGGCGTGTCCTCATGGAGCTCTTCTCCTGGGGTTCGGTCCACTTGGGGGCAGTGGTCACCGCCACATGGGACACGGGAGGGGAGAGGGCCAGCAGGGTGGGCCACCTCGCTACACACGTGCATGCGTGTACTCACTGTCACTCATACATACGCACCCTGTCACACTCACACACACACACACGCAGAGCCATTCTTGAGACCGGCCTTGTCCCCCACCCAGGGGTGCCCTTTATCCTGCGTTGCGGCAAAGCCCTAAATGAGCGCAAGGCCGAGGTCCGCCTGCAGTTCCGAGACGTGGCTGGCGACATCTTCCAACAGCAGTGCAAGCGCAACGAGCTCGTGATCCGCGTGCAGCCCAACGAGGCTGTGTACACCAAGATGATGACCAAGAAGCCCGGCATGTTCTTCAACCCCGAAGAGTCGGAGCTGGACCTGACCTATGGCAACAGATACAAGGTGGGTGTCCGGCCCTGGGCGGGGGACTCTGTGCGCGGGCAGCCTCAGTGACACCCCCTCTCGCAGAATGTGAAGCTCCCTGACGCGTACGAGCGCCTCATCCTGGACGTCTTCTGTGGGAACCAGATGCATTTTGTGCGCAGGTGAGGGTGACCCCGTGCCCGTGTGTGGCAGGGGCCAGGGCTCTGGGCAGTGGCGGCGGCCAGCTCCTTCCCTCCCTCCATGTCCCCACACCCTCCAAAGCCACAGTGTGTCCCCTCAGTGACGAGCTCCGGGAGGCCTGGCGGATCTTCACACCGCTGCTGCATGAAATCGAGGGCAAGAAGCTCCAGCCCATCCCCTATGTTTACGGCAGGTGAGGGGGCACGCGAGGGAGCCACCGGGGCAGAGGGATGGGAAGGAGGGTGCTGACACCCAGCCCCCTCACATCTCCCCTCTGCCTGTCATTCTCCCAGCCGAGGCCCGGCGGAGGCAGACGAGCTGATGAAAAGAGTGGGCTTCCAGTACGAGGGCACCTACAAGTGGGTGAACCCCCATAAGCTCTAAGCCCCGGGCGAGCCCACCCCGTCTGTCCGCCCTCCCCACCTTCCCAGCACCTGCCCCCACGTCGAGAAAACTTCGGGACCATAGACCTCAGCCTCGCATTCCTGGCCCCGGGCCCAGCAACATTCCTCTACCACTGAGCACTTGACACTCGTGCTGTGACCGTCCCCAGCCACCACTGGCCCTGTCCGAGCCAGCTTCTGTCCACAGGGCTGAGCCCCAATGGAAGGAAAGAGAAGAATGGCCCTTCTGTCTGTCCCAGGGTCCTTGGCCTAGGACAGGAGTTAAGGGCGAGGGGGAGGACCAGGGGTGGGCTTCAGCGGGCCAGTGGCCAACGCACACACCCAGGGGCTGTGGTCAAGCCCCTCAGAACCTGGGGAAAGGGAGCAAACGTGTCCACACCAGCCTCAGCACTACTGTACATTCCTGGTCACCCACTGAAGGGACTTCTGTGCCGCCAGCAATCCCCTATGTATTGGGCCCTCTGAACGTCCCTCTGCCCCGCCCGCTGCCCCCACCAGCCCAACTCTGCACTCCATGGCCCACCCAACCCACAGGTGCCCCCCTCGCTATTAGAAAAGCAGAAGCAGCAGGTGGGACACCCCACCTCAGCTCCCTGCCATTAAATATGTAAACAGATCCACCTGTCCCCTGGTCGTTTCCTTCCTGCCACCTGTGACCGTGGAGGAAGGTGCCTGCACCCGAGGCTAGCCCACCTGGTGGAGAGCCTGTGGCCACCTGCCTTTCCGGGGACCCACCCCTCATCCCCTCCCTGTCACCCACTTCCCTGCACTGGGCCAGGTACCTGGCTGTCCTTCACCGGTGACCGCGTGTCGCAGTGCCTTCAGAGTCCTGCTCACCTCTGTGCCCTCATTCTGCCTGACTCCATGGGATACAAGGCGACGTTGCGCTATCTTCACCTTCCACCCAAATACTTCCCTGCGCACGCTGCCCACACAGGCCTCTGCCCCAAACAGTGTCCCCGCCCCAGCCAGGTCATTTCAGGGGATCCCTGAGGGCTGTTCGCACACACTGCCAGTCCATGGAGGCAAGAAGTATTTAGGAAGGAGAGGCAACGGGATTCTGTGATGGCCATTACATGCCACGAGGGAGGAGACAGTCCAGGGAGGCGCCACAGCCCGGCCACTGTGAGGCAGACGACGGCCAGAGTTCTGAGGTCATGGAGTCCCTACTTGTATTCGCCCCCCAGGGCCCCCTTGACAAAGCATCATACGCCGGGGGACTTAACTACAGCAAAATTATCCTCTCCCGGTGCTGGAGAGTGGGCGGGGCCGCGCGCCCTCCGCGCTCTAGGGGCGGGGCCTTCCTCGTCCCTTCCCGCTTCTGGTGGCCGGCGGGCCTTGACTTGTAGACGTCACCCTCCGTCTCTGTCTTCATGTAGCTGTCTCCCTATGTGCCCGCCTCCCTTTTCTTACAAAGATGACAGTTGCTTGGGAGTAGGGGCGGGGCCACCGCACCCCAGCGCGGCTGCAACCTGACTTCCCTTGATTACAGATGTGCTATTTCCTAGTCAGGCCACGTTTTGAGGTTCCAAGTAGACATGGATTTGGGGAGCTACTGTTCAACATAGTATACTCCCAACAGAGGCAGCACCCCCACCCCACCCACCCCCCGAGCATGTGTCCCACCCTCTCTTCAGTCCTCTCAGCTGAGTGCCAGGGAGGTGGCAGGAACCAGCACCACGGTCCCCGCACTCAGGGGCCTGGGTTCTTGTGGATGCTGTCAACTAGGAACAGAACGATCAGATGGTGGTATGTTTTATGGAGGGAAGAACCCAGCAAATGGCCAGGGGAGGAAAGCTCTGTCTCTAGGGAGGTAAAAACACGCAGGGCCCTGTTCCAGGAGGGGGAAGGCCCTCACGCTGTTAGCAAGAGCTTGGCCCGTGGTCCCTCTGTCCCCTACCCCTGCTTGGGAAGGCGATTTCTCAGCTTTCTCCTCCAACCATCTTTGACCTGCTGCTGAGGACCAGCTGTTCTTACTCCTGCACGGTCTCCCTGGGCTGGGATGGCAACAGTCGGGCACCCGGTGCAGCTTGACAGATGGAGTGCTAGGTGCCAGGTCGGATGGGTGAGCGGAGTCTCCCGCCCAAGTGTCTGCAAAAGCAATACAGAGACAAATGACTCACATCGTGGGCTGGCCTGTTCCCATCCCACACACTAGGATGGCACGTCAGCACTCCCCACACATGCGACATACAAACTGCATCCCCGGCCACCACGCCTGCACTCCCTGTCTCCTGTAAGCAGGGCAAGTGGCACCTCCAAGCTGTGGGAGGAAGGAGGTCAAGTTCACCTGTACCCGGCTGAATAGGGGAAGAAGATTTATGGGACAAAGACAGGTTACAGACCCTTAAGGTGACTTCCTGAGGCTGGAATATGGATTTTGTGGTCTCTCCTGGGCCAGGTCCATGCAGAGCACCTGAGCAGGCTCCACGTGGACAGGATTGGAGGCCAGGGGGCCGGGGTCTTGGTCCTCACTCCCAGAGCCTATGGCCTGGAAAAGGGGCAGTGGGGACAGCCTAGGGACTCATAGACTCCCTGTAACCCTTTGGCTCCAGTGTGGCTACAGAGGGTCTTGCCCTTGACTCTGAGGTGCAGCCACATGGCTGTGATGGGGGAAGATGAGGCTTTGCAAAAGGCCTGAGATGACACAAGAGTCATGGACACCCAAGATGGTGACCAAATGGAGGAATGGAGCAGAGTGGGTCCCTAAAGACGTGGCCATGCTTTCCTCCTGTTTACCACCAGAGGGCGCCATCTTGCCTGCTTTAGGGGCAGATACATCTAAATTCCCACCGGCCCTGGCCAGCAGTACTGGAACCTCAAGTCCTCAAAATATGGGCCTGAGGGGGACAGTAAACCCTCAGGGAGAAAACCAAATAAGCAAAGGTGCAGGAGCCCTTCCTGACCCCATGGGGATCTTCGTGCCCAGAGTACCCCGGATGTTTACAGACTGGGAAACCTAGCAGAGCAGCGTGCTGGGCATAGTCCTTCCAGAGCCCCAGGTCTCTTGTGGAACCTGGTCACATGGCATCACTGAGGAGGATGCCCCCAGAAGTGTGGGGGGACACAAGTTGGGGCAGCAGAGGGAGCCTGAAGTGGAGGAGGGACCCAGCTCCTCCCGGGTGCCCAGCACATGATGACTGTATGTGACTGGGGACAGAGGACCGCAGGGACCTCCCGATCTGATCCTTCTCTGAGTGTCTCCACTGTGACAGAGGCATGAAGGCCCTGGTGAGGACATTCAACTATCACCTGACCTCAGTGCCTATGAAGGACAAAGAGGTGAAAGCCTTGATGAGGACAATCGACTGTCATCCCAGCTCTAGGAGCCTGCAATGGGGAAGAGGCTTGAGGTCCTAGATGGGGACATTTGGCTGTTACCTCCAGTCTGGGTACCTACAATGAGGGACAAGCATGAGGGACCAGATGAAGACAGTCACTTGTCACGTCATCTCGGTGAATAAATTCTGACAAAGACCTTAGGGCCTCGCTGAATTGAGACAAGTGTCACCTCAGCTCTGGGGCCCTACAGTAGGGAAACAAGGATGACAGACCTGGTGAGGAGAGACATCTGTCACCTCATATCTGTGTGTTTATGCTGGGACAGATGCAAAAGGTCCCAAGTGAGGAAAGACACCTGTCACCTCAGCTCTGTCACCCGAGCACCTCAGACATGGGTGCTGAGGTATAAGAGCTTTCCACTGGCACCAAATCTCTACACTGGGATAGAAAAGGAGGGCCGTGTGAGGACAGCCAGCAGTTCCCTCAGCTTTGGTGCCTACCACTGGGGTAGAGGCACGGGGGCCAGGTTTTGGCAGTTAATTAACATTTACCTTCCGGATGCCTTGACTAGGGGGAGGCTTAAGGACCCAGAACGGGAGAGTCATGAGAGACAGATGAGGGCACTCAACTGTCACTTCGGCTCTGGGTCATTAAGCATAAGCAGAGGCGAGAAGGACTGGGTGGGGGAAATCAACTGTCACCTCAGCTCTGGGTTCCCACACTGTGGCAGAGATGACGCCAGATGAGGGCATTCAGCTGTCACTGAAATCTGATTGCCTAATCTAGGGAAGAGGCAAGAGGTCCCAGCTGAGTACAGTCAGCTGTTACTTCAGCTCTGGGAGCCTACACTGAGGCAGAAGCACACAGGCCCATCTGGTTACCATCAGCTGACAACCCAACGGTCAGTGTCTACACTGAGAGAAGGGAATGAGGGATTAATTGATGGCATCAACTGGCACCTCAGCTATGGGGGCTTCACCGGGACACAGGCAAGAGGGCCCAGAGGAGACTTTCTGTTCCGCCTCACGCTGCTTGCCTGCACTAAGGCAGGAACACGAGGGCCCGTGACATGAGGGTCTAATCCTCTCTACGTTCCCATCAAAAAACAGTTCCAGAGAATATAAGGGACTTGCACAAGGCTGCCCCATGAGGCACAGCACACTCGGAACTGAATCCCAGGCCTCTGGCCCGTCACTCACGTGATACACCTGGGGATGGTGGCTGTGCCTCTGGACCCTCGAGGGGACTCATTAAACCACCATTTCCAAAATGCCTATTGTGAGTAAGATGTAAACACTGTCCTCTAAGAACTAGCGGTCTGGCAGATGCCCCAGACCTGGCCGGCAGCCCAGGAGTGCAAGTCCCAGGAACTTCCTCTGGTGGGCACCCCAAGTGCAAGCATTGCAGGAAAGACCACTCGGGAGGGCATGGTGCCCACGGTTCAGTAGCCACAAATATGTCAGTGTCTGGCAGATCGTCAGCATCATTTCTAATCCCAAATTCCAGGACAAAACCTGAATGCTAACCCCCGACTGCAGCGGCAGGGTCCTGAAACCGATCACCTTGATCTTGTTGAGAATGAGAGTGTTGTGTGTGCTAGTGTAGAAGCTACTGGATTCTAACCGCAGGTCTGTCACTGCCTGGCTCAATGAGCTTTCTCTGTCTTTTGAACTCTTTCCTTGGGAAGGTTTCTGTAAATGGGGTCACTGGATCAAAACAGCGGTCCCCAACCTTTTGGAACCAGGGACTGGCGCTCCTATGAGAATCTAATGCCGGGGCGATCTGAGGCGGAGCCGAGGCGGTGATGCTGGCGCTGGGGAGCGGCTGCAGATACAGATGAAGCTTCCCACGCTGGCCCACTGCTCACCTCCTGCTGTGCGGCCCGGTTCCTAACAGGCCATGGACCAGTATCAGTCCGTGACCTCGGGGTTAGGGAACCCTGAGTCAAAGGGCGCAGATGTCTCTGAGGTTCCCACGCCGCCCAGCTGCTGCCCTCCAAAAAGACAGTTCCAGTTGACAGCGGTGGCCCCAGCTCTCCTAGTGTAGGTGATCAGGGTGCTGTGGGCGATGTCAGGGTCGCCTTCCTGAAGGAGGCTGGAGGAGCAGACAGGGGTTTTCCCCTCCCGTTATCTGAGCGACGTGGGAGACGGTGTGAGTGCCCTTCCACCCAGAGGTCACACTGCGAGGACAGGCATCGGAAGGCTGAGCCTCGTTGCCTTTGGCGCGTCACACTCTGGCGTTTTCCCTGTATATTCTTCTGTGCCTCCATGTTTCTAAAAGGCACATATATCAACTTTAAAACAATTTCTAATTACGCACCCAGATCCATCTGCCTCTTCCCCAGGCTTCAGAAATCCCACTACAGGGAGTGAAATAGGCGAAGGGATTAAGAGGTAGAAATTGGCAGTTGCAAAACAGTCACGGGGATGAAAAGTACCTCATAGAGAATATAGTCAATAATATTGTAATAACTAAGTATGGTGCCAGGTGGGTACTAGACTTATGGGGAGGGGGGTCACCTTGTAAGTTATATAAATGTCTAACCACCATGTTGTACACCTGAAACTAATATAAAATAATATTGAATATCAACTGTAATTGGGAGGAAAAAAAAACCCTTAAAAAAAAAAAAGGAAAAAATCCTTAAAAAAAAAAGAAATCCGACCAGCGTAACCACAGCCCTCTAAGTCTGGGAAGCTGGAATTCCCCACCAGAGTCAGACTTCTGGAGCGGGGCATCCATAGGGTTAGAGGCGGGGCAGATAAGGCTCCTCCCATTTGGTGGCCTGAATGCACATCAGAGGCGGAGCCAGCGCGGCCCCTCCCACCATAGTGAGGGCGGGGCTGCTCAGGGATAGGGGCGGGGCTTCTGCTGACCCACCCAACCTGGCCGAGGAGAGGCACCCCACTAGTTTATGGCAGGGGTGGCGCCCGAGGGCTGTGGCCCCGCCCTGAGCCGCCATTGCGGGGCCTGCGGGGCCTGTGGGGCCGTTTTTCCATAGCTTTCTTGTCTCTTGTCGCGGAGCAGAGCGGGGCGGCCAGCCTAACAGGGGTGCCTCGGACTGAGCGCGCATCTTCCCACGGCCAGGCAAGTCTGCATCCTGCCCAGCTCGCATCGCCGGCCCCAAGGAGCTTCCCACGCGAGGGCCCCGCGTCCGAGAGAACCACATCCACTGTCCAGCCCCCAAGGCTCCCGTGGGCACGATCGATCGTGAGCCAACGTGTTTCCGAATCCCGTCCCGACAGGGCTTCTGTCCGCATTCCCGCGCAGCCTGGTCGGGTGGTTGGTGCACCCATCGCGCCCGTCCCGCAGCAGGGGCCCAGCGCTGGCTCAAACCCGACCCCCGCTCAAATCTGCTCTTCTGCTTTGTTGCCTCCAGAGCGCACGGTCCCCAAACAGTACTCCTGCCGGCGGCCCCAACCCAGCCGGAGAGGTGGACATGAGGTTGGCAGGTGGGTGGCTTCCACAGTGAATGGAAGGGAGTTGAAAAGGGGACCCCGCCAGAGGCCCAGGTATCCAGAGGCCTGTGTCTCAGGTGGACCACTGGGTTTGCTTTTGGAGACGGACGACTCTGCACAAGCACTCATTCTATGACCTTGAACGAATCCTTTAACTTCTCAGGATTTCAGCTCCTCGAGCTGTGAGATGAGCATTAGGACAGTCACAATCTCCCAACTCGGATAACTGGCTGCTGTTTGGAAAAATGAGTTGGACAGAGGCCCCAGGGAGTATGGGGGCTGGGTGCACAGGCGAAGAGGCTGTGGTCTTAGAGGAGAAACTGAGCAAAGTGGCTGTGGCGTTAGACATGAACCTGGTGCTAGCCCTGCTGTCGCCTTGCCAGGGAAGGTGAAGATGACTCAGGGATCGACACCTTGGCGGGTGGAGAGCAGAACTCAAGGACTGGAGTTCAGACCTGATAAGGTTAGGAATGTGTTTCAGTGCAGCTGCCTAGTGAGGGACTGGCTGGGACAGTGCAGCCTGCAGCTGGGGCAGGAAAATAGAACCGCTACTCCCTGGGGGTTAATTCAAGGCCGGGAGTAGATGACAGCACTTATAGGAAAGGTAGGGAGAGGAGGGGAAAGTATAGGAAGGGAAGGCAGCCTGGGACCGAGAAGAAGCTTTTCGGGGGAGGGTAGAGGAGGACGATCTGAGCAAGGAGGACGAGGGGTGTCCAGATAGGGTCACCGCATTGTCCTGGAGGCCAGCGGAAAAGCGTTTCTAGCGGGAGGGCCTGAGCACCCACCTGAGAGATCAAGATCAGGGCTGACAGGTGACCTGGGGAGTTGACACCAAGAAGGTCACCTGTTCCGGTGGGGTGATGGAGGCAAGGCCAGGCTGGAGTAGGTTGAGGGCGGGAGGTGAGACCGTGGAAAGAGCCAGCGTAGATGACTTTGGGGAGGGGACGGGAGGAGGAGGAAGTTAGGGGAGAGAGCTCAGTGTCTGGACAGCATGTGATTCTGTGTTTTCCACGCCTGCCAGGGAGAACCAAGCCGGAGCCTTGCACTTGGGACTCAGTTTCCTCCTTCCGCCTGCCAGGCGCTCGAGTCCCCCTCTCTGGCCTGGTGGCTGGTGACAGGTCTCCACCTTCCTGTCCTCTGGTCACTTCTTCCCAAGCGGATGGGGAGATCTGGTCGTGAGAGGCCCTAGGGTCATTTGGGAGCTCACTGGCATCTGAGGTGACCTCGCCTTGTCTGTCCTGCCTCCAGGCCCCTTCCGAATCGTGGCCCTGATTGTCACCGTGGGCGTCACCTGGATCGCACTGAGCATCCTCCTGGGTGGGCCCGGCAGCCGCTTTCCTCGCATCCAGCAACTCTTCACCAGTGAGTGTGGGACTCTTCCTCGCCCCGCTTCAGCGGCCACCGGGCCGGCCACCTGCGCCTGCAGGCTGAGGCTAAGGGCGGGGGCGGGAGCCTGGGTTTTCTGTCTCTTACTGGCAGGCCACCTAGTACCCTCAGTCTGTCTCCTGGCATCCAGCGCAGCCTTTCCCCTACCACACAGTGGAGTCGGGGGGCCTAAGCGAAGGGTGGGGGGACTTCTGCGAAACACTGCGGTCGATGGCCTGGGGGCTCCCTACATGCTTTCCACTGAGCTCTGATGTGGTACTAGTGACGTGTCACCTGAGTACTTTACACTTCCAATTTACCCTTTTCCTGGAGCAGGGAGCTTTGCATCTGAACATCGTTTAGAGTTGAGCAGGAACGTGCCAAGGTCAGCCTAGCTTAGCCCTTGGCCCCTGAGGCTGCTGCCCGACCACTTTGACTTCATGGTGCAGGTCCCAGGAGGCCTCCACGCTAACAGAAGCAATTATCTTTGCCCACAGGCCCAGAGAGCTCAGTGACCGCAGGTAAGGTTCCCGTCATTTCCCTGCTCCTCCCCTGGGCCCGCCCCTCATACAACTTTCGGGATCCAGAGCTTCTAGTCTCCATTTAGCCCCGCCCCCACTGGCCCTCACAGCCTGCTGGAGCTGCTCGCGTGCTGTGAAGCTAGAACACAGGTCACCTGCTTCCAGAACACACTGGTAGGATAGGCATGGAGTAGAATAGACAGTCTCATTCCGAAGGGGAAATATTGGAAGGAATAAAGGGGTCACCAGTCGCAAGCAAGTCCAAAACCCAGCAGGGCAAATGCCATTAGGGCTCAAGGCCTGAGAAGCGTCCTCTGTGGCCAGATTGTCTGTCCTCTGGGCCCACCAGTGGCGGCGGGGGGCGCCTTTTGGAAGTGGGGGGATGGTCTTACCCTCCCTCTGGGCCTGTGTTACCTCTGGCCTCTGCAGCCAGCGCTCTGCCATCCGTGTCACCCCTCCTTCCATCCCGTCTCTGTCCCTTTCAGTCCAGGCCAGCAGCGTTTGTGCTGTTATAAAATTCTCAGAAACCTTTGAGGATCTAAGCTCTAAGGATCTCCCACATCTTTCCTGATAAGCGCATCTGTGTTCCGGGCTTCTGCGGATGGGGTTGAGTGGATCCGCAAGTCACACTTGTCATTAGATTTAAGGCCATTCTACTCCAGGATGATCTCATTTTAATGGATCATATCTTCAGTGACCCTGTTTCCAAATAGGGTGACATTAAGAGGTACTGGGAGTTAGAACTTCAACAAATCTTTCATGGGGACACAGTTCAACCTGTGACAGAGGCCATCCTCCTCCTGTCTTCCCACCGCCACCCGTGTGGACCGGGAGCTCTCTTCGGCAGTCCGTCTGGCCATGTGCTCATCTGTGCAGTTGCCCTCCCCACTGCTCCTTCTTTCCCTTCAACGAGTGGCAGAAAAGCCCCCCTGGGGTCCCTGTCACTTTGCCCTGAGGCCATCCCAGTAGATACAAAGTGTCTGTGGAAGTGTCCCTGGCCTCTACCTGAGCCATGTCCCCTCCCCACAGTGGTCCCTTGCTCTGTGGTCACTCATTCCTCCCTAGAGGCTGGTCCCGACCTCCCCTCTCAGATCTTGGGTGACCCCAGGGTCAGGCCCATGGGTCACCCTTTCTGTCCCTGCCCAGAGCCGCGGGCCAGGAAGTACAAATGTGGGCTGCCCCAGCCATGTCCTGAAGAGCACCTGGCCTTCCGCATGGTCAGCGGGGCTGCCAATGTCATCGGACCCAAGATCTGCCTCGAGGACAAGATGTAAGCTCTTTGGGGTGCACGGGGTGGGGTGGGGGACGGAATGGGGGGTTGGAAGCTGGGTCTGCAAGGGCCGAGGGCCATGTGAGGGTAAGTGGAGCAGACATGCCACTTGAGGGCTCTGTCCCCCTGCTAGGCTCATGAGCAGTGTCAAAGACAATGTGGGCCGTGGACTGAACATCGCTCTGGTGAATGGTGAGTCCCCTGGGATGTGGGGTGACAGTTCAGTCCAGGAAGGCAGAGCCCTGCTGTGGCTGCTCCCCACGAGGAGTCATCTGGGTATTGTGTTGGCCCACCCCTCCCCCCTGCCCTCCAGAGTGTCCAGGGAGGCAGGGAAGGGCTCTGCACTAGCTGAAGGCCCCACATAAGTGACCCAATGAATAAAAAGCATGGTAGCAGTAAAAAATTAGAAGTTTCCAAGAAGTGGAAGGGTGCTTCGTGGGGAGCCCCCGGAGGGCCTCAAATGCCAGGCAGAAGCTCTGCGGCCTTAGGTGGGCTGCAGCTATGTGAACAAGGGTCATGGGTATAGAGGGATATTTCTAAAGCTTCCAGAAGAACAGCACTCAGTGGCTGTGCCGTGCCACGCCGTGAGCCTGGTCTGGGGGGACCGAGGGAGTAGGGCGGAGTTGCCTCGGTGGTTTGCCCAGGAGGATCCCTGTTCTCCCTCTTGCCCCAGGGGTCAGCGGTGAACTCATCGAGGCCCGGGCCTTTGACATGTGGGCAGGAGGTGAGTGGCCACCATGGGTCCCCAGCTTTTGGCTGAGCAGCAGAATGGCTGGGTGTCCCTCCCTTGAAACGTTGCTCTCTCTGTCCATTCACTGGCAGCTTCTCGAGCACTTCCTTGGGTTCAGAAAAGGCAGGGGAGGGACAGGTGTGTCGTCATGTGGACGGCCCTAGCTTCGTACGCCAGTTTCCCCCTGTACTTACTTGGTGACTCTTAGTGGACCGTGTCCCTGGCCTGATCCCTACTTTAAGTGTTCTCGTTCGGAGGACAGGGGTTGGTTGGGGAGGGGTGCTCAGTGGTACCTGATATTCTGTGTTCAATGGGACCTGTCCTCCAAGATGTCAACGACCTGCTGAAGTTTATTCGGCCACTGCATGAAGGCACCCTGGTGTTTGTGGCATCCTACGACGACCCAGCTACCAAGTAAGTGATCGCTGAGGCCAGCCTCAGCCCTCGTCCTCCCACGGTGGCGACTCACATCCCTTCCTTCTGTGCGGCAGGATGAATGAAGAGACCAGAAAGCTTTTCAGCGATCTAGGCAGCAAGAACGTCAAGGACCTGGCCTTCCGGGATAGCTGGGTGTTCGTGGGGGCCAAGGGCGTGCAGAACAAGAGCCCCTTTGAGCAGGTATGGGCGAATGGCCTGCCACCTCTGCTTCCCAGCCCAGAGCAGCTGGCCTGCCACCTCTGCCTGCATCCCGTGAGGTCCCCTTCTGTTCACGCTGCTGCCTTTCCTGACTTCTGCCCTAGCACCCCAACCCGGGCCAGCCCTGGCCCCATCCCAGTCTGCACAGGGAGGGGCGGTGACTTTGATTTTTTCCATCCTGTATGGATTTCGCCCTAAAGAGTCTTTAGATGACAAAGCTTTCCCATTGGCAAGATTCACAACTAAGAAACTTTTCTCCCAAACATCTTCAAGATATCCTGTCCCATCCCCCCCCAAAACCCAGCACCCCGATTCACCCTGCACGCCCTTTTCCCACCAGCCCTGGCTCCATGTGGCCGACTGCTCCTCTGGGGCCACATGCGTCAGGCCCTGTGCGAGGGGCTGGCTGGCCAGCCCTAGGCGCCATCCTCATCTTCGGGAGCCTCCCAGCCCTGTGAAAGCCATACTGTCCCTAAGGCCTGCTCTCCACAGCAGGACAAGACAAACAGGCTGTTCCAGTGGTTTCTGGAAGGCTCTAGCTGCCAAAAGAGCAGCTTAGCCCCCAAAGAAGAAACACCCGCCTGACCTTGCTTTTCCCGCAGCTTCCGGCAGCTCCGTGTGGGCTGGGTGAAGGCGGGGACACACTCACACACCCCCTCCTTACCTTCCTGGTGTGTGCCAGGCCCAGAGAAGTTGACCCCCTCACACTCCACCTGTGAGGGGGGCAGGCCAGTGCAGTTATTGCCATCTTTAGGTGAGAGAATCAAGGAGCCAAGACAGACAGAGGGGCGAGTGCCGCAACAGTGCACGGTCGATTGATACTGGCCCCAGAGGATTGAAAACTCTGTCCCCTGCGCCTGAAGGCCGAGGCTGTAACTCCCTGCTCCCCTGACCCCCACAGCACGTGAAGAACAGTAAGCACACCAATAAGTACGAAGGCTGGCCCGAGGCGCTGGAGATGGAGGGCTGCATCCCAAGGCGGACCGTGGCCAGCTAGCCGGCTGAGCGCGAGGACCAGGCTAAGGGAGGCTGTGTGTGCGCCTGGCCCACGAGGCGGGAGTGGCAGCGGCGCGAGCACAGGGCCGAGGCCCGACCCCACGCCCAGCCAGGGGTGCTTTCTTGTCCCAATACATCAGGGACCCAAGGTGATGACTGGTGACCGGAACGGGACTGGCGGTGGGGGCTCCAAGGGCCAGCCCCACCGCTCTTTGTCAGGGGAGCCCAGGTACTTATCTCTTGTTCTAAAGCTGCTTCCCCGGTCAGCCCCCACCCAATTCCCAAGCACCCCCAGCCGCAAGGCCCTGGGTGCTCGCCCCTCACTGCATAGCCAGCTACTTGGGGCATCTTCCAGAAGCTCCCCAGCCCAGAGCCGCTCACTGCTCTGTGAGCTGGTCCTGTTTCCAGTGTGATTCCTTCTGGTGAGCCACACCTGGTGGCTGTGGCAGAGGACCTGGCCGCCTCCTGCCCCATTCTGCAGGAAGGGGATGCTTTGGAGCCTGGCGGGCTGGGGCGGCAAGGTAACAAGCCCGGTCACAGTCCCTAGTGCACCGGGTGGCGGCTTCTGCGGTTTATCAGAGAGCCCACCTTCTAGATGAATTCAATAAATTGGTGACCCCAGTGGAATGAAGTACATTCAGTGCGGAGTCAGGGGTGGCGTCCTGGCGGGGAGGGACATGTCCCGGAGCAGGCTCAGCCACCTGCCCCCACAGCCTTAGCAGACAGCCTTTGTGTTCAGGGCTTCTGCCACTCACAGGTCCTGTTGTGGCTGAGCTGTGACTCAGGTGGTGAGCAGAGCAGCTACCCAGCTGGCAGCCCCAAAGCCTGGCCTGGGAGAGACAGTGCTGCTCTCTGGGGCCACAGGAAACTCACAGACTCCCTCAGACACAGCACAGACCTGTAGGAACATGGCCAGGCTTAAAACCAGCGCCACACACACACACACACACACACACACACACACACACACACACACAGCCTCCTTCAAGAGCTGGTGTCTCTGCAGCATTCGACTTTGAATACCTTTGAAATCAGGGCTGTGAAGGGCCGACTACATGGGCTATTAGTCATTTCCCACAGATTACAGTTATATTTCCCTTCATCGATTGAGAGCCAGCAAGAAACTATTAGATTATTAAGAGTTTTGCTAGGATACCATATCCGGGTGGGGGGGGCGTGGTCTGGGGTCTGAGAAAAGAGAAAGTGGTCTGGGGTCAGAGAAAAGAGAAAAGGCACTTTGGACTTCCTAGATTCTAGATGAGAGGAATTGGGGCTCCAGCCAGGCAGCCTCGAGGAGGCTGTGGCAGAAGAGGAGTGAGGGGCCCAGGGACAGCCCGGGAGGGAGAGGCTTTGGTTGCGATGCCACGACCGAGAAGGGTCAGGGAAGTGGAGGCGTGAGGAGGGCCCAGATTGCTTGCCCAGGAGATGGCCATCATGGAAGCTGACACCCAACCTGACCCTATGCAAGTGCTTTACATATTACAGAGAGTTCCCACATACATACCCAGACTCCACTGATACATCAGCATCACCCCAAATCGACATAATGCTCCCCTCTTGTGTTGTACAGTCTGGGTTTGACAAATATATATCGATCTGTATCTACCATTATAGTATTTTTTTAAACCTTTTATTATGGAAATTTGTTAACATCCCCCAAAGAAGAGAGAATAGTATAAATGAACCCCACTGTACCCACCGGGGCTACCACAGCGATCAAATAAAACAGAACCTCACTGAGGGGCTGGGAGGCACGTAGGCCCCACTGTGTCTCTCAACTGCTGTGACTGCCTGGACTGCCCCAAACATTCGCCAAGTGCCTGCCCTGGGCCATGCACTGTTACACGCTGGGAACACTGGAGTGAGCCCCAGTGATGGCCCCTAACTCCTCAGGGGGCTGTGCCCTCGCTGGGGGTCGTCAGAGTAACCCAGTTGGAAATAGCAAGCCAGTTTTATCCCCCACTTGGCCTCACACGGGCTTGGAAGCTGATGGTGGTGTGGAGCACAGCCCACCCAGCTTTCCAAAGTGGAGGTAAGCTTTATCCTTCAGTCCTCTGCCAGGATGTCACCCACCCCACGGCCCGGCATCCTCAGTTACAAGTGCCAGAATCTCAAAGAGGCAGAAGCAAAACTAAGTAATGACAGGAAGGAGGCTTATTGTTCCTGTAATGGACTCCCAAGCCCAGGGCTGATTCCAGCTGCACGAACGTCATCGGGACATGCGCTCTCTCCATCCCTTGGCTCTGCTTTTCTCTGTTTGATTCCTGTTCAAACATTCTGTCTCCCCCAGTTACGGGGGAGTGATGGTAGAGGTCTCAGTTTAGCAACCCCAGCCGAAAAAGAGCTCCCACCTTCCCAATAATTCCTGTACAAGTCCCCGGGAACCAACTCTCACTGTTCCAGACCGGATTATGGGCTTATCCTTGCATCCATCTGTGTGGCTGTGATTGGCTACACCCGAGTACGTGCCCACCCCACAGGCCACGGGTTGGGGTCATCCACGTGTAAACCTTGCGTTCCCCCAAAGGAGAGTGAGGAGCTGTGACCTGATGCGGGGCAGACACTACACTTCCCTGTAAATACCAAACGCATCCCATCCTGGTGCTCGTACAGCATATGCCTTCCATGCGTGCTTATTTATCACACAGTAGTCCCCGGAGGCCTCTGCCTGGAGAGAAGGTAGCCACACCTCTCAGGGTCACCATTAGGATCCTATTACATAATATAATATGGTGGCAGGTCTCTCATCTGAAGTGCATTTATGCTGTTTCGGCTGTCACTATCATTCATTTGTTGTATTTGTTCTCAGTCCAGAGGACTTGTCTTTTGAAATTAGACATCTTTGCCTGATTTGTAGAATTCTTCCTTCTCTTCTGGGGTAAATCGATTCCTTAAATGAACTATGAACGTTCTCTTGCCTTTAATTTAGCTGTCCCTTTTTCCTGCAGAGAAGGCCTCCAAATTCCCTCATGTCAGACACCCCAGGAGCCCTTTTCAGGAAAGGCTGAAGTGACTGACAGTAACGGAGAGCAGCCTTCTCACTGTGTTCGCCCTCCTTCCCTCCTGGCACCAGTTTCTATTCAAACTACAGTCTTCCATGCAGCATGTGCCAAGCCCAGGACCCCTTAACCCCATCTGAGAGGGACAGTGCAAATGTTCCAGGACAGTAAGTCCACAGAGACACACACACAAATGCCTTACACCTTACTGATCCTCTGAGGCTAAAGAACAACCTAGAACTATGGCCTCTGAATGTTTTTGATCACCGACATAAACCCTGTTGAGCACGCACCCCCACCATGTGTATATCTATTGACGTGTCATAAGCACATACTAATCTGAACTTGATAAAACATTAATATAATTTTTAAGACAAAATGAACTTAAATAAGTTTAAATTAATAGATTTTTATTAAAATTATAAAATTATTATTTATTTGAAAAATTAAAAGTAGAGATGGGTTTTTTTTTTAAGACATTCTCCACGATGTGTCTTTGTGCACCTCCCCGGGGCAAGTACTGGGAACTTCAGAGCCCACTGGCTTCCATCATAGCGGTGACAAGAGGTTCTTCCGGAACAGTGGGGGCGCTGGCAGACCAAATGCAGTTGCCCTGCAGCCCTCGGGAACATGCGAATCCCCCTCGACTCCGCACTGGTTTACTGTCTTCCAATGCCCTTTCTACACCTCCACCACCTTTTTACCCATCGCTATGCCATCTACTTCCACTCCTCTTGAAGCCTCCAGACCTTGCTGGTGGTGCCGAATGGTTTTAAAAGGTGGACAAGTCCACTGATAATCCACAGTGTGGAAAGAGGCACTCGGTCAATGTTAGAACAAAAGAAGGTGAAACTAACTAGGCCAAGCCTGGGATTCGGAGTCCAGGTTGGTTGGACACGGCCCTGCAGGCACGGGGCTGGGCGCCCAGAGAGGGAATGTGGCCGAAACCCTGACTCCGGGCATCCCACCTCTGCTAACGGCTAAGCCAGTGTTCCACTGCCCCCAGAGGTCGCAGCGTGTTTGGGAATGGCTGGGGGCCCTACCCGGAGCGGGTCGCCAAGGCAGCGATCACAGAAGAGTCTGACCAGCGGCTTCGGCACCGCAAGAGGCTGTGCACGGCACCGAATAACTGCGACCCGGAAGGGCGCCAGGCCCGTGCGCCCGCGCCAGCTTGTGGCTCCCAGATGCGTCACCTCCGCTCGGAACCCGCCCAGACTGGGAGAGGTGAGGCGGGGC